GCTCATAAGATATCAGGGATGTTAACGAAGACTGGGTCTTCTTCTTTGCCAGAGCTATTGGAAACAAGGTCACTGCAAATGGAAAAGCTAAACACGATGTGACAAGTCCAACCAAAAGGAAATTAGCGCCATTACCTTTCCTGCTAACTCTTTGGTAATAGAAAAACGTGCGTGTGCATGTGCGTGTGTGTGTGTAATTTCTTAAAAAGCTAATCTATTTTGCTTTATGTTGTTTCCACTGTAATTAAAATTGGAATTAAATAGCAGAGGGTTAAAATGTTCAGCAGTCACTATATTCTAGTGGCACTTCGTTTGTCTCTGGATCTTCCATAGGGGGAGGAGATCTGTGGATCAGCACCTTGCTGCACTGCCAGGGAACTTTCCATAAGAGCCTCCACAAAGCAGACTTCTCAGTTCCCCAGGATGTTCTACTCCCTGGTTTCTTATGAAGTGACCATTCCATCTCTCTCCTGTGGGATAGCTAACAGAGAACAGTACTCCCTACTGTGTCTTGAGGCACATCAGAAAGCCTAAATTTGCACCTGCATAGACTTGGCACATCTCTAGTGAGCCCCCCCCACCACTAAGAAATGCACATCAGAACTACCTCCTTATGTTTAAACTGAGCACCACAATCTGCTAAGATTCTTCAAGGATGTTTCTGTCACAACTGACAGCACACAAGAGTCCCACAAAGCATGGGGTTACAGCCCCACTTGAGAGATGAAACTCAACCTACACAAGATACATAAGGTAACAAGGCCAGCAAGGGGCGTGGCCTGGGATGCAGGAAGACTCACTGGTTCTATGTCAACAACCACTTCCACCATTCCATGTCCACAGCATTTACCAGACAACTGAGTTTAAGGAAAAAGAAATTTGACTGCCACACATAAAACTATAGATATTGATATTTACAGCAATAGAATAGAATTTATAGAATTTATAGAATCTATATTTATAGAATGCTAATGAAAGACAAGGCTTTCAAAACTATCACATATTTACCAGAATTTTGCTTCCTTATGCACCTAAAGGAAAAAAATGTGCTTATATATTTACTTGATTGGCTAGTTGATTCATTGGTTTGCTTTAAAAAAAAAAAATAAAACCTTTACAGGGAAAAGCAAATCAAACAATATATAAAGCAAAACAAAGAAAATCAGTTTCTCTTCTATGCTCATTTTCATTCATATCAGAGTAACATTTATCAGTTGCTTATCTATTCCTGCAGAGTAATTAAATACAAAGACACACACACAGAGTCTGTGTTCATGGAGAGCATAATTTTATTTTAAACAAAAGGTAGCACACTACCCAAAGTTTTCTTCATCTTTCTTTTTTGTACATTGTAATATAGTCTCCTTTTTCATATAAATAGTTAAGCTTATTTCATTCTTTCAAGCTCTGCCAAGTTTTCATTTTGGGATTATCCTGTGCTTTATTTAACCTTTGCCCAACAATGGCACTTTTGTGTTATTTCTGTGATTGTGCTATTACCAATAAGGTATCAATAAATACCCGTGTGGGACATCTTTAAGTATATGGGTATCTTAGAATTACACTCATGAATTATAGTTACTGGGGTGGGGGTGGGGAATCAGGTGTAAATCCAAAGAACATTGACCTTGAAATGTCCTATATTTTTTGCAACTTGTTAAAATTGATAATGTATTACCAAAAAAATAGTGTAAGTCATAGAAACAGAATAGAATGTTTATATCAGGGCAGTTGTCCGTGTAAGATGAGTAAGTTCTGTGGATCTAACAGAGGGTGTGAAAACTATTAGATTGTACACCTTAAATTTGCTAAGGGTCAGAAGGGTCAGGGACCTCCCTAGTGGTGCAACAGGTTGAGCGCCGTGCTATGAAGCTGTCTGCATCTCTGCAGCGTGTGTTCTATTCCCGGCCGGCCAGGGGGCAACCCACATGGCGCGGCAGACCTCTCCTGTCTCGCCCGCTGCTCCCCTCAACAGGGTTTTGGTCTGCCTGCCTGTTCTGCTCCCTGCTCTATCTCTGGTGAATCCTCTCACCCTCCTGCACCTCTGGCCTGTACCCTAGCTCTTGTATAAATAAATAAAATCTTTCAAAAAAAAAATTTGCTAAGGGTCATTCTTAAGTATTCTTGTCCTCTCCCCCACCCCCACCCAATATCCCCTACACCCTCAGTAACTAGGTGAGGTGATATTTGTGTTCATTAACCTGATCATGGTCTTTATTTCACAATGGGCATGTATATCCAATCACCAAAGTGTGCACTTTATATATGTTCATCAATTTTACATCAAAAAAGCTGCAAGGAAAAAATGGTTTGGGAGGAAACTGAGGATTTTAAGAGTTTATCTAAATGCATCTCAACATGTAACAAGTCACTGTCTAGCTTCACTTTTTCTTTTCTTCCTATTAGCTTGTCTTCTTTGAAAAAGAATGATCTGGAAGAAAAAGTTTGTATTGGTTGGTTTACATAACATATGTACAAAATTTCTAATGCTCCACCTCCTTCCAGTTCAGCATGGCCAGGTCGGACTGAAATACTTTCTTTCCAGGCTGCAATAGGAATAACCGTGTCAGTCTCCAGATTCTGATCCTGCTGTGAAGAATGACAAAAAGCTCTTTGCTGCAGGTGGTGTCACCAGAACCTCACGAGTCAACCTGAAACATCGCTCACCACTCCATGGGCCTGCACTTGAGCAAGAGAGACTTCTCTGTGGGAAGGGATAGGATTTCCAGGTTTATTTGTTATTAGCTGCCTATTCCAATTAAAACCCTGTATTTTTCTCTCTTTGAGCTGTTTATTTCTTCCATATTATCAAATCTGCTAGTAGTTCTGATTTTTTCTTTTTAAAACATCTTCCAGCACGGTTCTTCCCTCACTGTTTTCTCACTGAATCATCCTAGCTGGTCTATGTATTTAAATTTTAAGAATCATTTTAGTATTGTTTCAGGTTCTCGAAAAAATTAACTCTTGGTATTTTTTTATAAGGATAGGATAAAAATACAGTATAATTTAGACACAGTGAACACTTTTTTTTTTTTTTTTTTTTTTTTTAAGATTTAGCTATCTGTGCATACAAGAGCTGGGGCATAGGCCAGAGATGTGGGGGGGTGAGAGGATTCACCAGAGACAGAGTGGGGAGCAGAACAGGCAGATGGACTGAAATACACTTCTGAGGGGAGCACTGGGTGAGACAGGAAAGGTCTACCTCATCAAGTGGGTAGCTCCCTGGCCAGCTGGGGACCAAACTCGTTCTGCAAAGGCTGTGGACCACTCCAAAGTACAGTGCTTAACACCTTGCGCCACCAGGGAGGCCCACAGTGAACATTTTTAGCATTGAAAACTTTTGTCCACAAAGGTTCGTCACATATTTGGTTAAGTTTACGTGTCAGTATTTACACTTTTGGTTGCTACTAGAAATTAGATATTTTGAGTCATATTTTATAATTAAGTATTGTGTATATATATATATATAGAAAAGCTATTAATTTGTACAAATTACTTGTTAGAGGTTGCTAATTCACTGATTTTTTCTAATCTTTTCAAGAGTTTCCTGCTCTGTTTATAACATTCTATAGAAATAATATTATCTGCAAATAATCATTTCTTTTCTCCTCATTTCAAGTACATTTACCACTTGTTTCTTTTTCCTCACAATACTGGCTATTATTGTCCAAATCAGCAGTTAAAAAACAGTGTCATTCAAAACAAACCCAAAGAAAAGGCATACAAAGTTGGGGGAAAGAGGGAAAGAAGAAGAGAAGCCATCCACATAGAAACAAACAAACAAAAAAATGTTAGACTGAGCGTATGTAGAAAAGACAAGAACTTTAAGCAGAAGAATACATCCTTCAGAAACCTGATTTCTTTAGGAAATAGTTTATTTCTCATTGGTGTACACTGAAAAAGAAGAGGTCAAAAGGTGGCAAAAACTAGCATCAAAATAAAAGAATAAAATCAATGCTTTCACTGTTAAAGCATCTCTAATGATTTTTTAATTCTATATAACTCATGCAATCCAAAGTATATAATAGTATCTGTCCCCTCTCCCCTTAGCTTATACAGTGACCTCCTTCTTTGTCCACCTCCCTCCCTTTTTGCTTTGCTTTACCCCCAAATGTTATTTCAACTTGCCTACTATTAGCTGCCATTTCTTCAATATTGTGCTCTGTCTGACCAAGAGGAAGCCCCACTTGTTGTGTTTGTTTTTTTTTTTTTTTTCTCTAATGCTTCCATTTTGAAAATCTCCATACTGTGGCTTGAGGCAGACGACACTCCCAGATTCGCCCTTGCATCGTACTAGCGAGCATTTCAGCCCTAGAGAGTGGTGTGCCCATGGAAACTGGGAGTCATTGTATCCTAGGAAACTATGGCAACCAACAGAGACAAACTGAAAACAGGTCCATTGTCATCATTTCTAACGAGTTAAAGATGTGAATATCTTCTACAATGAACCCTACTGCTATTTGCCAAGGAGAAGATGCAATTCAAGCCAGTCCCAATAATTAGAACAAGTGTTTAAAAGCATGCATATATGATGCATTTTATTTCAGTTGCTTTATAATAATGAACTTATTAAGTTGATTCCTACCTAACCAAGATAACCAATGGATATGGTCAGTTCTTCTGAGCAACTACTAATACAGTATTACTAAATAAATTACGTCTTCCAATGTTGTAGCAATTTATCCATATAGACAGATAAGTGGTTGTTATCATAGCATCAAGATGCCCAGAGATTATTCTGATTTTTTCTGTGACTCTATACAGCTGAAATCATTTGAATAGTGAATTTATATTCGTAGAACTCAGTAATGGCCTCTCCACAGGCACTCAACATTTAGCCCCCAATTTTATTTACAATATTCTCAGACTCGACTAAATAGTCTAGCTGTCTAATCAGACCAAGTTAATGAGAGACCATATAGGTCATCCATGTAGACTCAGCATCTATTATTTTGACAAATGAGCTTATAGCATGAAAGAACTCCCAGTGAATTGTAGCTTGCTGGAATTCATTTATTTTGCACATCACATAGTTTGCCTCCAAAACTTCTCTCCAAGAAAATATGGTTCATAACTTTCATTTTTCCTATAAAAACAGAGTTGGAGAAAATAATTCTTACAAAGAGTTTCCATGTGTCTGAACATGTACATTATCAGTTTAACTTAACCTTTTGTTTTCTTTTATTTTACATGTCACATGACATTTATTAAGATCTAGCAAGTTCCAGAAAGCAAAAGATAGAAAATAGTGGTACAGAGAATTTCAGAGAATCCTTAGTTTTAGTTCTTTAGGGAACATTGAAAACCTCAATATCCTTGCAGAACATGCAAGCCTAAAATCTATCTTTGTGGTAGTTTTTTGCAGTCTTTGTGGGATATATACTTTTATAAAAGCTATACAAAGAGAAAAGCACAAAGAGATCCTTACAGAAGCCAATGACAGGAAATTGCAATTATGTGCAGAAGCTCACACATTTGATAAAATCTGGTCTTCCCCTTTGTCAAAGCAGAAAACTGGTGTGTGTGTGTTTGTGTGTGTGTGTATGCATATATATACATATACACAAATATGTATTTATTTCCATATTAAGAATTTTAACTTAAACACAAAAATAAAAGTAATTCACGAATGTTTTCAATATGGAACCAATTACTTTCCTTTGATAGGGAGTTCACTGATAAGAGTTCTATATCTTCCTTCTTGAAGTAAATAAATTTCAGAGAATCCTTAGTTTTAGTTTTTTTGGGAATATTGAAAACCTCAATATCCTTGCAAAACATGCAAGCCTAAAATCTTTATAGCTTCTCACACGTTCTAATCATTCATAGTTTTCCGGCAACATCTATTTTAGCAGCATTGTTTATTATCAATTCATCTCCCCAAATATGTAATTCATAGGAACATTCTCAATTTTCAAACATGTAAGTTCATATATATTTGATCAGATTATACAATTTTAATCACAAACAACTGGAATAAATAGGTCTGAGTACAAATACAACTGATTACCGGTAAGTGAAATCAGGAATTGGGAGCAGAAGCCCACAGTTATACTAGGGAGCCACCTATTCTCATCAACACTCAAAGCAGAATAAACAGTAATGTGTGTCCTTTAAAGAAAAAATCAAAGATACAAGTTGTTTCTGTTGACAGTGATAGAAACATTTCTATCGTATACACTGAATCTCGGATGCAAAAGATCAAGTTGCTAGAAAAGAAAATGAATAAAAGAACCACATTCCTAAATATAAATATACTTTTTCAAATATAATGTTTCCTCCTTAACATGTTCAAAGTTTAAAATAATCCCAATAAAAATTCCTATGGGAACTTCCAGAGAATTTGAATGATGAGGCTGATAACCATCTAGAAAAAAAAAATTCAAAAATAAAGCAGGTATTTTTTCTTAGATGATGAGTAATGAGGGGGAAGAATTTCACTGGGTAAAACATATTATAAAAATATAGTAATTAAAACAACTAGGGATACCATCAAAAAACAGACAACATATCTATGACTCAGAATAGAAAATCCATAAATAGATCAAAAGTCAGTATATGACAAAGGTATTGTTTCAAGTAAAAAAAAAAAAAAGGATGGATTATTTAATAAATTAGGTTAGAACAATTGGTGATAGTTTTTTTTTCTTTCCTAAAACTGTGACCCCCCCCCCGAACAAAGAAAAAAAAAAGAGGAAAAGAATGATTTGATTACACCAACTAAAATGACAATAGTTCCACTGTCCCTAGAATGTTGAAATCTGTTAGCAAACACCACTATCAATCTAGCAATAAGAAAAACAAAGATAACCTATAAAATCTTTACTTTTCTGGAACTGAGCATGGTAGACAACTGAAGAAAATTCTGAAAAATGGCAAGTCCTTCCAACAAGGGAAAAGGAATTATCAATAGTTTCACTCTGATACCATATGGGAGAAAATAGCAGCCACCTTACAAGCAGAGAAGAAATCAGCTGGTATTCTAAGAAATTCATAAGGGCCAAACATGGGCTAGATTGCCAGTGTGTAATAACTAGGAAATCCCAATTCATGGACAGCATGCTTTCCCTAGTAAGCCCATTCTCACAAGAAAGCCTGAAAGCAGAGCAGGAAAAACAAAGGAACAATTCGCCATCACCCCTCACAAAATACCCCTCACTTTCCCACCCATGACCCCACTCCCATGAGGACAAAATGCTGGGGAGAGGCACAAAACATTGCCCATTCACGCCTTCAGCCTTCTCTTTCTGTAGATACTACTTTTGGAGAACACAGACCTTCTTACCTGCTAAGCACTCATCCACTGCTTTCTAGGGGAGGTAGGGGTGAAAGATGCCTACCACTGGGGAAAGAGCAGGGATCCTTTCTTCCTAATGCATATAGGCAAAGATCTATTGCTATTCAAAAGAGATAAAAGCAAATATCCTCATTCTGGGGAAGGCACACCAAATCAACTCCCTCCCTACCACCCTCAGACATACCCACACTGGCACTTCTGTTCCTCAAACACAGCAAGCTGGTACTCTACCCACTACAGCAATTTTTTTTTTAATTGAGATCATTAAACTTGACTATACACAAACTAAAACTGTATATACAGAGTTCTATTTCCACCCATAATGTTAAAAACTTTAAGCGAACATCGATCAAAACACTAAGAGAAACATAGGAATCAACAAAACCAAAATTTACCTGGAAACTAGCAAACCAGGCCAGCTTAACATAAAATTGATGAGACAGGACCTCCCTGGTGGTGCAAGGGGTTAAGCACAGCACTATGAAGCAATCCACAGCCTCTGCAGCACAAGTTTGATCCCCTGCTGGCGAGGGAGAAACCCACATGGAGCAGCAGACCTCTCCTGTCTCACCTGCTGTTCCCCTCAGCAGTGTATTTGAGTCTGCCTGTTCTGTTCCCCACTCTGTCTCTGGTGAATCCTCTCTCCCCCTGCATCTGTGGCCTGTACCCCAGCTCTTATATGCAAAAATAAATAAATCTTTAAAAAAAATAAAATTGATGAGACATAAAATTAACCAATTTAATGTATACCATCCAGAGGCATTTAACCCATTTACAATGGTTTGCAATGATCACCCTTATCTAACTCCAAAATATTTTCATCACCCCAAAGCAAACTTGTTTTACCAGTTGACTAGTTGCTCTCCATCCCTCCAGTCTTTGATAACCACTAATCAGATTTCTGTCTCTATGGATTTATCTATTCTGGATATTTCACATAAAGGGATTCATATAAATTGCAATGCTTTTTGTGTCTGGCTTCTTTCTCTCAGCCTAAATTTCCAGGGTTCCTCTTGTGGGGGCATATATCAGTACTTCGTGCCTTTATGGATGAGCAATAGTCCAATGTGGGATGTTCAATCTTGGATGTGCCATATGTTGTTTATCCATTCACTGGCTGATGGACAGATGGGTTGTCCACCTTTTGGCTATTATGAGGGGGTTTCTGTGATCCATGACCTAGTCAGCACTTGTGCACTGGCTGTTCTCTCTACCTGGAATGTTCTTCTCCAGGATCCAGGATCGAGCCAAGGTTTGGCCTCCTTAAGATCTCAGTGCAAAAGTCATCTCTTGGAATCTGTCTCTGGTGACCACCTTTTCAATGTAACTTCCAAGCCACTTAATGTTCCAGGTCTCAACACTGCACTTCTCACTACCTAAGATTGCTTTGCTTGCATATTGATTTCATGAGAGAAGGGATTTTTCTGTCTTGTTTTATTCTACACCCACCCCCATGGTGCTCTGAACATTCCTTGGCTCATTGAGTATCTATTAAATGAAGAAACAAATTAAACAAAATAAAACAAGACACTATGTTTTACTTGTCAGCTTGACAAAGATTTAAGAGAATTTCTTAATCAAAAAACTACAATGGGGTATAAAGAAAAGATGGTGCCAATCACGGCAGGAGGGAAGATAGAATGACTCAACCCTCCTTGGGGGAAATATCATAGTAAGTATCTAAAAGCTGAAAACTCTGCATATGCTTTGTCATAGGTATCAACTTCTGTATATTTGTACTAAGGAACAAGATCTCAGAGATGTATATTGTGGATAGACACCTTACTATATCTATAGGAAGATGGATATTATTCCAGGATTTTGAAAATAGCAAGATGAATTCCCACGATATGTGGTCACAGGAGACTAGTCTTGCCACAGGACATCCACATAAGGCACTTCTACGCAGCCATTCAAAGGGATATGGGTTTACTGGTAGAAACACCTGTCCATGAATTTTTGTTGATTTAATAAGATGGTTAATTAACTACCCAGAAAAGTGTGCCAAGAATAGTCTACTTCAGTCAAAATTATTTAGATGGTGGGAACTGACATTGCATTTTGGGGATCGCTCTTCCAGGCCAGATCAGCTAAAAATCTAAGCCTCTGCACAGGCCTGAGTCAGAACCAACTGACCCCGATCTGTGAAGTATCACCAAGAAAAATCCACCAGCCTGCAGGGAAATGAAATCAACAACCCCTCAAAGTCTGTCTGAGCAAAGGCAATTACAGGAAGATCAAAAGTAGGAGCAGCTGACCCAGAATCTAGCAAGCAGCGAGAAGGAGCAAGTTGCACTTCCCTGAGGCCTGGATCCCTCCTCCGTGTATCCATAACAACAGCCTCTGAGTCAGAACCACGGGCAAACTTGGCACCTCAAAACTTATGAATGAAAACCCAGAACTGTCAGAAATTAATGTATTGATCACTGTTCTGTTTGACATAAGAAAATGGTTATTCCCTTCTTTCCTAAGCTATGTAACTTCACTCAAATGTGTGCCTGCGAGAGTAGTTTTTTTAAAGTGTGATATGTCAGACCGCCCCCAGTTCAAATCCTCACTCTGACTATCTAGTAAACTTTTTGTCTGACTATCACTGTTACTGGGATTGCTATTTCAGCCCACGATGATAATGGAGAACAAGAGAGACCACAATGAACCTTGTAAACTTGAGACCACTGATAATTACATCGGGTGATATCATTACCAGCAACTTTTTTCTCCTTTTCCTCATAGATTTTGTTCCTAAATTTTCTAAAAGTTGGCCTCCCTGGTGGCACAAGTGGTCAAGC